GTCCACCCAGCTAAAAACTTTAAAAATTTTGCGTTTTATCTAATGCAAATGTTTGCCTAACTTTAAGTTATGAACAATTGTATGCCAAATTGGATAACCTAGATAAAACTGATAGATTTCTAGAAACAAATCTAAACCTATAACCTATAACTAGCAAAGAGATTGAATCAGTAATTCAAAATCTGCTAACAGAATAAAGTGCAGGACCAGACAGCTTCACTCATGAATTCTACTAAATATTTGAAGAGAAATCAACACTAATCTTAACGCTTTCGAAAAATTGAAAAGAGGATACTTCCAAAAGAAAAGAGGACGCATGAATTCATTCTCTGAGGCCAGCATTATCCTGATGCCAAAGCCAGAAAACTATATATCAATATCTCCGATGATATTGAGGGATGGTAGAAATCCTCAACAGCACATTAAAAGGACTATACACTATGACTAACTAAATTATTTCTCAAATAACCAAAACAATCTTGAAGAAGAAAAATAAAGTTAGAGTCACACACTTCCTGACTTTAAAACTTACTAGAAGCAGGCATGGTAGTGCATAACTGTAGTCTCAGCCATTTGCGAGGCAGAGGATAGAAGATACCTTGAGCCCAGGAGTTCTACACAAGCCTGGGAAACATAGTGAAACCCCATCTCTAAAAATAAAATTACAACAAAGCAACCATAATGAAAATAGTGTGTTATTGGCATAAAGATAGACACATAGGTCAATGAAATAGAATAGAAGAGTGGAAGAGAATCTTAAAATAGATAAACCCTCACGTATAGGGTCAAATGATTCTCTTTTTCATCCAGAAAGAAGATCTTGCTCTGTTGCCCAGGCAGGACTCCAACTCCTGGACTCAAGCTATCCTCCTTCTCAGCCTTGTAAGTAGCTGGAACTATAGAAACAAATCCTCATGCCTACCTAATCAAAATGATTCTTGACAAGGGTGCCCATAACATTCAATGAAGAAAGGACAATCTTTTCAACAGGTGGTGTTGGGAAATTTAGATATGCCCATGCAAAAGCATGAAACTGGACCCTCAGCTTACACCTACACAAAAATTAACTCAATACGGACCAAAAACATAAACAGAGAGTTGCAGCTACAGGCCAGGCCTGGTGGCTCATGCCTGCAATCCCAGCACTTTGGGAGGCTGAGTCAGGTGGATAATGAGGGCAAGAGATTGAGACCATCCTGGCCAACATGGTGAAACTCTGTCTCTACTAAAAATACAAAAATTAGCTGGACGTGGTGGCCCACGCCTGCAGTTCCAGCTACTTGGGAGGCTGAGGCAGGAGAATCACTTGAACCTGGGAGGTGGAGATTGCAGTGAGGCGAGATTGCACCACTGTACTACAGCCTGGGCAACAGAGTGAGGCTCCATAT